CCCCAAAACCCCAAAACCCCAAAACCCCTATGTAAGAATTTGAGGTTGAGAAATCCATATGTCGCGTTGCATGAAATGATAATCTACTTTCTTGCACTCAAGATGATTTTTGATCTGGTAGGTCTTGATCTTGCTTCAACCTTGTTTTGAATTCTCTTCTGAAATGCCCTGGATGATGCAGAATTTGGATTTCTTCTTTTGCCCTTTTGCAATTCCTTCACCTTACGCTTCTTTTTCTTCATCTTCTCGATTTGTTCCATCTTACGGACCTGTTGTTTGTCTTTACCCTTAATGTTGGAAGCCTAAGAGGTTGATTAAATTTCTAGAAATACCTTTTTGCCCATTCTCTTCATGTCTCTTCTACCCTGATGGAACTGTTGAGCATTATCAACTGTTCTCTTGTCCTCATGCTCACCTAAAAGCGTTACTCAAAAATCCCATACCTGTATCTTGGATCTTTAGATGCGTTCTTTTGACCCATTTCTTGTAAAGTTCTGGATCTTTATCCTTCTTGTAGTTGATTACCTTTCCAGCTTCGTTCTTAATCTTTGATCCATCTTTTCTTTCATTGACTTGGACATATTTCTTCTTTTTGGCATCCCATTTCATTGATTGTTGAGTCTTGAGGAGACTCTTCTCATCATCAGGTAAGAGGTTGAGATTAAGGTCCTCCATATTGAACTTCTCATTCTTGCCCCACATATTCTCTGCTTTCTCATCTTTGTCATAAGTAATATAGAACTCAGACTTTTTGTCTGAGCCTTCTTCAGCAATTTTCTGGCGTTTATTCTTCTTTGGATTTTCCTTCAAAGCTTCGAAGAACATCTGCCTCTCTTTCTTGTTCATCTATAAAGATTTCAATTAAAATATTACCTTTTTGAGTTTCTTCCTATCATGGGCAGACAAGTTAAGCTTTTTCTGAGATTTATCTTCTAACTGAGCATTGGCCTCTTCAATTTTCTTCTGTCTCTCAGCTGCTTTTCTTTCTTTTTTGTAAATATCTTCTTCAGCTTCTTCCTTGAGCTTTTGAGCTTGTTCTTTAACCTTTTGTTGAACATCTCTTTTGTTAATTTCTTTCTTTTGTTTGTTAAGGATGTCTTGGAGTCTTTCAAGATCTTTATCCTGCTTGTATCTGGTATACATGCATTCAATGGCGTTCATCTTTGGCCTGAATGATTTTATGGCATTTTGGAAATTCATTAAGGCCGCATCTTCAGTGCCGACTCTGTTTAGAGTCAGTGGGTGAATTCCAATGATACCCAGCTCTTTAGCAGTCTTCACAGATGCTGTTGAAGCAGAGTTTTTATGCTTGTTGTATTTCTTTAAGGCATTTTTCATGACTTTCTCAAGGGCTTCAAGGTTGCTGTTTCTGTCATAAGCAGTCTCTACATCTGAGCTGTAGGTATCAAGAACTTTCTGGAGGATTTGACCGTAAAGACTGATCGATGGATTTTCAAGAGCTTCTTTTCTATCTTCAGGGCTGAGCTCATCGACATTATTGACATATTTTCTTCCAACATAAATACTAGCTTCAATGAGGAAAGGAAGCTCGTGTTTAGTCAGAAGACTGAATGATCTTCCACTCTGACCATTTCTTGCTGTTCTTCCTGATCTATGAATGAACAACTTCATTGAAGGAGGAAAGTCATAGTGGATAACATTGCTTAAGAAAGGAATATCTATACCTCTAGCAGCTACATCAGTGACAATAAGGATAGGGAACCTCTTCTTTCTAAACAGAGCAACTGCATTTTCTCTCTGAGACTGGTCCATAGCACCATAGATATAGTTGGACTTTAAGCCAGCAGTAAGAAGTAGCTGCTGGAGATAATCCACATGATACTTAGTAGCAGCAAAGATAATTGTGAGCTCTTCTTCCTTTATATGCTCTTTCAGCAGATAGAGTAAAGCAGCAGGCTTATCAGTGGATCTAGTAATAAAGAAATGACATTTTAACTGATCTGAGAGAGTATATTCCTGGTGAAGCTTAATCATTTTGTAATCCCCAATTCCAGACAGTGTGAAGTTAGCAAGTGATGGTGGAATAGTTGCAGAGAATAGCAAGATCTGCTTATTTTTAGGCATTTTGTTGTTGATAGTGACAATTTGTTCAGCAAATCCCATCTCGAAAATTCTATCTGCTTCATCATAGATAGCGATTTCGACCATGTTCAAACTTAATCCAACCTCATTGATATGATGCATAAGTCTACCAGGGGTAGCAATAATAACATCAGGATTCTGGGCTAATTTCTCAAACTGAGTCTCCATTTCATTTCCTCCTACAAGTAAAGCATACCTTAAATCAGTAAATTTTGAAAAAGACTTGAAGAAACTCGCTGTTTGCATTGCGATTTCTCTGGTAGGGGATAAAATAACACACCTTGCTCCTACAATTTGGGAGTGGCACTTCAATTTCTCTATCATAGGAATCAGGAAGGCTCCTGTCTTTCCACTTCCAGTTCTTGCCATTGCCACAATATTCTGTCCTTCCAAAACAGTAGGAATAGTCTTTCTCTGAATTGGGGTAGGTAGCTTATATCCCATTGCCATGACAGCTCTGAACAAAAAGTTTGAGAGGTTGTATGACTGGAATCCACCACCCCTCTTCTTTTTCTTCTTGAACTCCTTCTTCTCTTCAAAGGGGTTGTGATGTTCATCCACCATAATATCGTCGTTGTAAAAGTCTCCCATTTTGCAGCCAATTAAATTACTTATTTATATTTTAGCTCGTTTGAGTTGGGGTTTTGGGGTTTTGGGGTTTTGGGG